TGGTTCAGTACTCAAACTCAGTACAAGTAGTTCTCAACTTACAACAGTTCATTTAGTGATCATTCAAAATTACAACGGCACTGAAAAAAGTGACTTATGACCAGTTTTCGCACTTACAACTGTTTTAGCATCCCGTGATCAAAATTCAGACGCTTGGCAACCGACTCATATTTATGACAGTTGAAGGATCCTGGGGGTCATGTGATTCCCTTTTGCGACCTTGCAAGCAAAGTCAAGGGGGAAGCCAGATTCACTTAACAACCATTTGACTATTTTAATAGCTACAGTGATTCACTTAAGGACGGTGGCAAGAAAGGTCATAAAATGGGGCAAACTCACTTAACCAATGTTTCACTTAGCAACAGAAATGTTGGGGTCAATTGTGGTCGTAAGTCGAGGACTACCTATAAAGGCAAATACATAGATCCATGGGAAAATGTATTTGTGACACCAGATAACATTTATTAAGCTGTAAATCCATTGTTGAAAAATATAATTCATGCTTTCCTAGATTAAAGAAATTCTTTAATATAATTTATTAATATTCAAATTGAAAGAACATATTATATTGCGCGGATTTCAGTGACGTACTAGAGATTCAGTTTTGAGAGCCAGTTTGGTCTAGTGCAGGGGTAGGCAACCTTGGCCCTTTTATGACTCGTGGACTTCAACTCCCAGAATTCCTGAGTTCTGGGAGTTGAAGTCCACGAGTCATAAAAGAGCCAAGGTTGCCTACCCCTGGTCTAGTGATTAAGGCTTCAGGCTAGAAACTAGGAAACTGTGAATTCTACCCCCACCATCTGACTGACTTTGGGACAGTTATTCTTTTTTAGTCCACGACATCAGGCTCAGATGACAAGATGGTCAGTTAACTCCTGTCACAACCAATGGATCCACATTCAGATGACCCAAAAAAGCTAGGAAGAAAAAAAATGCAATTCATTCTCCTCTGGATCCTTTGTACAGTCTTGCTGCATTTCACCAAAGAGTCATGTGGTTCACCATTCTCCTTCCATAGTAGCTAATACTGCACCCTAGCTTTTGTCTGCAAGCAACTAGCATTAAGTGACAGCACTGAATCTGAGTTTTTCTACCACCATTAGGAGTATGATCCATTAGTACAGCTCTCTTTCATCTATTGGTTCAATTCTCTGAATGCTACTGAAGCCGGATCCCAGTGCACTGTGGTTTTGGTTTTGTCACCAGTGGTTAATTAAATATTGTCATAAATATTAGCATATTATAGGGGAAAAAACCCTGCAAGGACTAAAACAGGCAGTCACCAGGAATCGGTACTGACAGGAAAACGCAGGTGCACGTTCCTGCACACTAGTATACTAATAGCTGGGAAAGTGGGATTTTTTTTTTTTTAAAAAAAAGATAACTTGTTCTGTTTTTTGTTTTGTGGGTATTCTATACGATCCTGTTAGGTTTTTTCATAATTCTTCTTAATCTCCTCTCCTCTTCCAAAATTAAACCAAGGATGATGGAAATTCAAGAGAACTCAAGGTTTAGAAGTCAATTATCCTTTGGTTAAGGATAATTATTTCTGACAAGGGCGGATTTTTGTTTGAACTGGTTGGTGCAGTGGCTAAGGTCCTGGACTGGAAGCAGGGAAAGAGAAGTTCCAGTCTTCCTACATACAGAAGCCAGCTGGATGACCTTCGGGAAATCATTCCCTCTCAACCCTGATCAGCATCAAGCCAGCAGATAAACAAAACCCTTTGTAGCATTGTATACGGATAGCTTTGCTGTAAGACCTAGGTACCCACAGTGGACAAACAGTTGGGAGAACAACCACCTCCACTACTCAATTGTTTGGATACCTCAGACCACAGCCAATCTCCTATCCCCTTAGCAAGAAACTGACATCTATGTGACCTGACATGGAAGAAAACAGGGTATATATTAGAGGTATACATTGCATAGAGCCCTGTCTTAATTTGTCTTCAGGCTGCCTCAGGCATGGCAACTGCTGCTCTGCTCCAACTGTGACAGCTGTAAGAGCAGCCCAGCTGGATCAGACAGTTCTTTTCTAAGCTAGAATTCACATGTTAAAAGTGACCAGCCAGATATCTCTCAGTCCTTTAAAGCATACAAAATAGGTTTGAAAGTTTCTGCTTATTGTAGCATTATGATAGTTCATCATAGTCACCCAGATATTTGACCAGACTTGGCAGTTCTATCGCCTATAAAGGTCCTTCCCAAAGCTCTATTATTATTATTATAGATAGTTCTCGCATGACAGTAATTGGGACCAGAATTTCCATCACTAAGCAATACGGTCATAAAGCATCACATCATGTGACCATGTAATGTACAGTGGCAATTCTGGCAATCCCAGTTGCTGTTATTAAGAACCTTATGTGATTGCAACCTCCAACTTCCTGCTGGCTTCCCCATTGACTTTGGTAGTGTGAAACTAGCAGGGAACATTGGAAATTGTGATCACATGACTGCAGCTCACTGCAAGGTATTGCAAGCCAGGTACCAAGCAGCCAGATTGCAGTTCAGTGACTGGGGGGGATGCTACATTGGCCAAAACTCAGTGGACCAGTCATAAGTACCACTTATTCAACAGAGTTGTAACTTTGAAAGTCACTGAACAAATGATTGTAACCTGAGTACTACCTGTATTATTATGGTCAGCCAGATGTTCAAACTGGATTTGGATTTTTTTTCATCTTACCGAGTCTTTCCCAAGGACATAGGATATGCAAATGTTGTGTTTCATGGTGTTAAAAAGGTATCATAGCAGGATGTGCCTGTCTATTTTTGCACAACTGAAGACAGCATACATAATGCTCCCTCTTTTCCCCAAGCAATTTTGTAAGGTGAGTGGGCTGAAAGCGATTGGCCTTTAACAATGCAGAAGAAACAATACCTGATCTATAGCTACATGACCACCTATCCACGGGGCAGTACTGGACTTGTGGCTTTTTTTATAGTAGAAGATATTGGCCACAGCCTCAAGACCTTTACCTAGCTTTGTACACCGGTTGTGGAATTTTTGGGACCAGGATGCCCTATAGATCATAATCCATGCCTTCATCACTTTAAAGAAAGACCACTGCGACATTCTATACTTTGAAGTTAAAAGTGTTCCAAAATATGGTGGCCTACTTGCTAACCAATGGTAGAAGATTTGGAAGGGTTATCCAAAGTAGTGGTCACTGACTTGGCTGGCAATTTGCTTCCAGGTTCAATTCAAAGTGCTGTTTCACATCACCTATAAAGCCTTCGATTCGGGCTGGGTTTCCAGACATTTGTGGGATCTTTTCTCCCAATCCAAATTTTTCCATCTCTTCAACAAGGGGATGCTGAGAATTGGTGGTGGAGAAGTGGTGAAGGAGTCAGTAGCCTGCTGATACTTCTTTAGTACTGTCTCCACCCTTTGCAACATCTTGCCCTTGGAAGTATATGATACTCTTAACTGCTCACCCTTTACAAAAGCACTCTTACACTATTTCAGCAAGTGTACCAATTCTAATGATGACAGGAGCTGCCTTAACTTTGGTTTTTAATTTGGGATACCCTCCATATTTATTTTCATGGACATTTCTATGTTGTTTTCTGTAATGTTGTAAGCTACCTTGAAGCCTACGAAATAGGTGGTGCACATATTTTTATATAAATAAATGAAAGAGAGGAACCATCTGTGGCCCTGTTTGGGTTGCCCCAACCTGATCTATGGCGATGTTTTCAACATTGTGCCTACAGAAAAGAGAATTGAAACCCAAGTCAAGTCCATTTGACAGACCCTGTACCCTCGTCTCTGCAGAATACCTTGCAATTGGGTGGGACCTGTATTCCAAAAACCACCTGTGGAAGAGACCAGTAGGCAACTCATGTTACCCTGATACCAAGGTCATGAGGCCTCTGGAGCTCATCCTCCCAGGTTACTGAAACCCAGTGATGCCATTTATTACCCAAATTCAGAAACATACAGAAAATGTTTTGGATCATTAGTGATGCTATGTGTCTGTCTGTCTTTGTTGCTACTTATCAAGTCGGGATGGGTGTCATAGTTTAGCAGAACCTAAAGAGGCTAAGGACACTTAGTGTCAGTAGCATCTTCAGGAAGGGGGAAGTAAAAAAGGCTACCCCAAATCTGAATTTTCCTGCTGGAATTTGTAAACATGAACTTAAAGGGCTTCATCAACAAGCAAAACTGGAGACAAAGGGGTCGCAGGTTGTTTTAAAGCTAAGAATGTATTTCATACAATGAAATCTAAGCATTTCATGACTGTGTCATTACATTTAAACTCAAAAAAAGGTTTTTGCCTGGATAGTGACTCCATAGATATTTAATCCTGCCTCTTATTCCCTTCTTTGAGTCTGCCATAGCAGTTATCTTCTGCTCTGGTTAGAAAGTCTCTTTGACTTGACTGGAGTCTGAGGTTATACATCTTGAAAAGGAACCAGCCAGGACTTCCACATGAATCAGCTCTGTTGAAAATCAGATCAAAGCTGTCTACTCTGTCAGCAGCTCTCCAAAGATTGAGGCTAGGGATTTTCTTCCTGTTAAACACTATCCCATTGATTAGATTAGAAAGACTGGATTTAGAACTGGAATCTTTTTCAATCAAACCATTGGTTCAATGTAACAAATTAGTGGGCCATGATACCCTGTTCCTAAAAGGTGATTGCTTGTAGGCTGCCCAGTTTGGGCCACCAGAAGTTTTAGATCCATGCTTTGAAAGCCAGTTCTGGGGGGGGGGTGTCGGTTGCTTCTCTCCTACCCTTGGATCAATGTCTTCTGCCCTGCTTGAGAAGACAACAAGTAGGCCTTTGATGAAGGGGCAACATTGAACTAATTGAACAAGATACCTTTAGAACGTGGGTTTCCAAAGACGTCTAAGCAACTAGTAAGACAGTCTGATGGCGACCCACCTGGAGACGAAAGTTAAAAAGAGCAAATGTTTGCATCCCTCGTTAGTTCAGGAACAAACGGTTGTACCGAAAACAACGTTAACTCTTTGATGTGCCTTTTTCCACAGCTGGATTATGATCGAGCACAGATAGTAGTAAGTCCACCCCTTTCTGGATCAGACACATATCCACGAGGCCCAACAAAGCTACCTCAGAGTCAGTGCAAAGCCACCTATTCAGGTAGTGGTTATCAGTACTCAGTTCTCTATCACAAATTCTCTCACTTTAACCACCAGCCTTCTCTGCAGCCCAGCTCACATTATACTTCCACAGCTTCTTACCCAAGCTCCCCCAGCATCACTTCAAGTTCTTACCCTCCGCCGAGCTGGGGTTCCACCTCAGATCAACAACCCTCACGGGTCTCGCACGAGCAGTTCCGAGCAGCTTTGCAACTGGTGGTGAGCCCAGGGGATCCACGGGAATACCTGGACAACTTTATCAAGATCGGGGAAGGCTCCACCGGCATCGTTTGCATCGCCACCGAGAAGCACACGGGAAGGCAAGTGGCGGTGAAAAAAATGGATCTCAGGAAACAGCAGAGGAGGGAATTGCTCTTCAATGAGGTAGGCACTTTTGGAACCATAAGGAGATTCTTTCGTGACCTTAATTTATTTCCCTACAGTACAGGTAGTCCTCGACTTAGAACAATTCATTTTTTTTTTCAAATTTTATTTATAATACAGTTAAAAACAAACAAACATTGGATTTAACGTGACATTCCAGTATATACATTCTTATCAGATTATCCCACTTTTTACAATCAATTCTTCATCTCTACATATACATCTAAGTTTTATATACAATACTAAAATAACACGTATTTCTATCTTAACATTCATCTTTAATCCCGACCGTCCTCTTCAAATTTCTCCAGCGGTAAAATTTATCCCAGGTTTCATAATAAACTGATCCACATTTGTCTTTTAATATCATTGTGAGCCTGTCCATTTCCGCACATGCTAATATTTTATGTATTAACTCTTCCTCTGTGGGAATTTTCTTACGACCATTTTTCACAGTGACGACCTTTGCAGCATCCCCATGGCCACCTGATCAAAATTCAGATGCTTGGCAATTGGTTCATATTTATGACTGTTGCTGTGTCCCACACTCACGTGATCCCTTTTGTGACCTTCTGATAAGCAAAGTCAATGGGAAGGCCAGATTCACTTAACAACCAGGTTACTGTAGTGATTGACTTAAGGACTGTGTCGAGAAAGGTAAAATGGGACAAAACCCACTTAACAAACGTCTCACTTAACAACAGAAATTTTGGGCTCAATTGTGGTCGTAAGTCGAAGACTGCCTGTATATCTTAATCTGAAGGCTCTCAGTGCAGAGATGTTAATGCCATATACTGGTTAGACTGTTAACCATAAACCAGGAAAACTTGATTTTGTTTTTCACTCAGCTTCCGAATTCCCTGGTCAGTCATTGTCTCTCAGCCTCACTTTCCTTGCAAAGTTTTAGGGAACAGGGAACAAGTTTATATGGTCAGAGTGAGGCAGACTCTGGGCCTTTTCGCCCACCAATGACATAAAGCATCTTATAGCATCACCCAGCCATCACTGATGCAGTATAAAAGCTGCCCTCCTTACTGTTAGCACAATGACAGTATGACTCTAGAACAGGGGTAGGCAACCCAAAACACTCAAAGAGCCACTTGAACCCGTTTCTCACCAAAAACAAAACACCGGGAGCCGCAAAACCCTTTTGATATCTAAAATGAAGATAACACTGCATATATCCTTTTTTATCTTTATTATAGGTGTGTGTGTGTGTGTGTGAGAGAGAGAGAGAGAGAGAGAGAGAGAGTGTTGTGTACACACACACACACACACACACACATTAAAAATAAAAGTAAAAATATGACTCTTGGGAATATCCATACTATTAAAACAATGATCACCGAGAGAATGCTTTAAGAGAATAAAATTACATACACACATAGGTAAAAAAAGGATATATGCAGTGTTATCTTCATTTTAGATGTCAAAAGGGTCTCTCTGTGTCTCTCTCCCTCCCTCTCTATCTGCCCTTGGTCTGCCACTCCTCTTCCCCCACTCTCTCTCTCTCCCTCTCTCTCTCTTTCTCTCTCTCTCTTTCTCCCCCCCTCCTATCTGCTGCTCACCTGGCAAGCTTCAAGCTGTTGTCCAACAACCTCCGGGGTAGGCAACCTCGTCTCTTTTATGACTCATGGACTTCAACTCCCAGAATTCCTGAGTCAGCCTAGCTGGGCTAGCTAGCTCTCTCCTGCCCTTCCTGCTTCCTGCAGAGACGCAGCAAAGGGAGGAGCTCCGCCCAGAAAGCTTTTCAGCTCCTCGGAGAACAATGTGAGTGCACTCTCTTTTACACATACACACACACACACACACACACACACACACACACACACAAAACACACACACACACACACACACAGAGAGAGAGAGAGAGAGAGAGCAATTGCCTCTCTTTGTCTCTGTCTCTCTCTGCAAAGGCAGAGGAGGCTGGGAGCCACAGGGGAAGGCTCAAAGAGCCGCATGCGGCTCCGGAGCCGCAGGTTGCCGACCTGCGCTCTAGAAGATGTAAGTTGCTAGCAGAAAAATAAACTGTTGTTGGTGGCAGGTGTGGGAAACTGGAGAAAAAGAAATTTTGGAAGCCAGCATCTTTAAACCAATCTACTACTTTCAGGTTCAATTCACAACATTGGCCCACAATTAGTATTAAACTAAAATTCAGCAGATCATCTGGTCAAATTTCCTACATGATGAAGAGTGAGGTCAGCAGCTTACTTTTAATTCTGGTAACAAAATATTTCTGATTTGGGTAAACCCTGTGAGAATAAAATGGGAAGAATCGTGTTATTTGTTTTGAAAAAGAGTCATAAAATAAAATTTGAGATGTTCAAATATCCTAGAAGATAGACATATTCTCACTTAAGATACATTAAAAGTCTAAATAAAGTTATATATTTATCTTGTTTGGAATTGAGCCTCACTTTCTGAGCAGACACCATCCATTTCTTCTAATATCTAGAGCAAATTTATGACCTTGATAAATATAGTTTAAAATGAGAAGTCGCACAACTTGCCTTCAAAGGGAAATTCTCTGTGTGGCAGAATAAAATCTTATTTGATAGAGAAGAATTGATCAGATTTATGAGATTGTTTTAAATTAATGAAATAAGTCAAATAAGTTAAAGTATCAGTTTCTGCTCAGATATGGGTAGCGTTTCATTTCTCACCATAGTTTTACCAGGCATCTGAATGTTTAGGATTTCTAGAACAGTAATTACTCTGCTTCGTTTTTGTTTTTCCTGTTGGCTGAGCAGAGAAGAATAAACGTGAACACTAATTAATACTATCCAGGATATTTTATCTTCACACAATACCAGAGCAAACATTATACTGTGGGGCTGGAAGGAAAGGATGATCACATATATAGAAATCAACATGTCTTGGGTTTGGCCAACTGGAATATGTGATTTGTTATTGTACAAATTTAGGCCCAGCTTTTCAAAACGGATAAAGAATCAGATATAGATACAACTACAGCTTTTACAAAGAGTTCATAAAAAGCAGTTGTCAGTACCATTCATAACAATCCAATAGCACAACAATAGCATCAGTTCTATAGAGTCTTCTGAATGGAGAGAAAGAGAGGAAGTGTTTCAAATACAACCCATGAACAATCTAACACCGATAATACGGTCACAAGGTTGCGACTTTTTTCTTTCTAATGCATAAAGGCAAGTCTGCATTTGGCAGTTTCTCAGACAGCAATATTCAAAAAATGAATGCGGTGCCTGCAGTAGCAGCAGCAGAACATGTTTTTAAAAATGGGAAGAATTTGAAAAGGAGCTGCGCCAGTCAGCCACATGCCATTTATGTGACTTGGAACATTCAAAAGAGGCTTTGTTTCTTTGTACTTTTTTTTTCTGAGGTAGGGACAACATTGTTGGAACACTTGAAATGGCTATTTGGAGCTTGGAATATGCCAATGAACATAATTTTGCTAGTTCTAAGTATGGAATACATCCTCCTTCTGAAATATGCCTGGGTTCCCTTCTTGTTTCTGGCTGAAAGTAACAACAGTTTGCATGATGTCCAAACTGGACAAAATGTAATTACAACTGACCATCATTTACATTAATTTTTTAAAAAACAGAATTAAATTTGGGATTCAAACTTTAGTTGGCATCAGCTGTTTGATGACACAAAACACTCCCTCAAAGATCTGCCCAACCCTGATGCCTCTTAACGCATAAATCTGGCTTAGGTTGTAGCTGCCATTTTCAGAGCTAAAAGCTTGCAACGGCTGTGTCATTTCCCTCCACGGAAATCTCCAGTGTGTTCCCTTGGAGAGGTCATATGCGGTGAACTGCTTGGTGAGGTCATCATTGGTGAACTGCTGGTCTGAACTCCCCAGGGTTTCAGACCTACCTGAAAGATGCCCAAGATATCTGTGCCTCAGTGGGACCTTTTGCAGGTGAATAGTTTGCTGGGCCCTGAGCAGCATCCTTCCTCTGAACTTCTCTTCCAAATGCACACGTGCACGACAGGATTAACAGAAGACCACTGATGGCATCAGACCGCAGGATGATCATGCTTGTAGTGTGTTGCTTAGATAAGATCATCTGATTCAGCAAAAATAGTGCTGTGCACTTCCAAAGACCAGTGTAAGCCAACCTTTTCCCCAAAGCCTGTTTGTTCAAATGCAACAGGATCAGGTGCAGCAAGCTACTGCTGGTCATTTGGTCAACAGATGTCAAGATCCTTTTATCATCCATAGCTGTTGACAAGGCTGTTTTCCTTTTTCCTGCACGAGTGGTCATGCCTGTCCTAAATTCCGGTTTTACACACCTGGTATATATAGGAGAACCCCTGCACCAATTTTTTTTCTTCATTTCTATTTATGAAGAAAGGGAAGGATCCAGCAACAATTCTACCTAAGCTCCTTTTCACCCCAGACTCTCATTTCTAGCCAGTCTGTATTCAACATTATTCTACTGAGAATTAGCATCCAAACATGAATGACAGGATTGAACATTCTCTCCCATTTGGCGCAAATGAGCAGGGAAAGTAGAGAAACCCCCTGGACTATGTTGCACTGTCAGCCTTTGCTCTTCTTCCAGGTTGTCATCATGAGAGATTATCACCATGAAAATGTGGTCGACATGTACAACAGTTACCTGGTGGGAGACGAGCTCTGGGTTGTGATGGAGTTTCTGGAAGGTGGTGCTCTGACCGATATAGTGACTCACACACGGTAAGCTCGTTCTGTGGCCAAGTCTTGCCTTCTAGCCATTTGCTCTTTTGTAGAAAACCACTGCTAAGGGGTCCTGTCTCTAAGATGAGGGAACCGAAGCAGATGAGGTCTCTCTGCTGAAATGAATGAAACTTCCCCCAGGCAGAGCCTTGCATGAGCGTCTGAATCCCCACACTGACCCCTCATGCAAAGGGGATTCTCTGAAGGCAGGGCAGCAAGCGCCTCTCTCGTTCACTCTTTCGCCCTTTGAAACAACAGGGACAAAGGAGGGGGAAGAGGGATAACCATTTTGGTTATTCGCACTGATTCCCTCGACTGTTTCTATAGCAACCTTGGAAGTTACTAAATATGTTTTGTGACAGTATCGACAGATAAAACGGTAACATAATGAAGGAGAGGTCCATGCTGATCTGACAGGTTTAATTTCCAAACTGGATGCATTCTTCTGTTGCCGAAAAATTAGCCCGAATCTTTCTCAAATCTGACTTTTTCTCTGTTGAATGATAATAATATGCTGTTAAATGCATAAATGAAGCTCTTTGGTATGCTTTAGAGCAGTTCTTCTCAAATTTGGGCAAATGACCAAAAATTGGGTTAAATTTTTTTTTTCCTTTGGGTAACGAGACATGAACCCGTTACCCATCGCACTAGGGAAATTTAAATTGACTTTAAGGATTGTCACAGATACTAAAATATATTTGAAAGTCTCCCAGAGTTTTCCTATTAAAACAAAACTGATAATAAAATTACCAGTAATTTGTTGAAATGACATAAAGATCATTCAGTTATACTGTTTTTATTTTATTTATTAAATTTAGAAAACAGCTCATCTCCTCATAGAGGGAGTCTGGGCAGCATACAAATAAAATGTTGAAAACATAAAAACTGAATATAAAAATTTAAAAGAGAGGCAAGAATAGTTAAAATTCAACGTAAATCTAAGTAGTCCTTGACTCGTGAACATTTATTCAGTGACCGTTCAAAGTTATGATGGTGCTGAAAGAAGGAACTTATAGCTTGGTCCTTGGAATTCGATAAAACTTTCTGATAAGTGATTTTGAATAATGAAGGAAAAACTTTGGGAAGCACTGCTTTAGAGGAGAAAGGCATAATTTAGTTGAATACTTCTTGTACGTTTCATAACGTATCTATACCCCAGTAATTAGTTAAAACACTTTCCAGTAGTTAAAGTGGTCTCTTTTTTTTCCGAATAAAATACTGTCTAGCTTCCAATGAGAACAATATAGGGGACAAACCTGAAACAGCAGCCAATCTAAAAGAGCTTCATAAGGATAAAAAAAATGTGTTTATGCTTACAACTTTGCTTTACAAAGAAAAACTCAAGAACTAAACCAAGAAAATAAAGTAAATAAATCTAAAGGGCAGCTTTCTGAAACAGAGGACTGCCCTTTATATTTGGTCATGTAGTTCAGCTTGATACTTGCCTTATATTTTCCACTTTGAAATCAATCCTATTCTAAAACCATCCTGCAAGTCTCAGCAAGCTAAGAAAGGCCAGATAGAAATGGGAAAGTCCAACAGGATTTGAGAGATATACATGTGAGTGTGTAGTGTAAAGCAGGCTAGCTTCTCTCTCTCTCTCTCTCTCTCTCTCTCTCTCTCTCTCTCTCTCTCTCTCTCTCTCTCTCTCTCTCTCTCTCCCTCCCTCCCTCCCTCCCTCCCTCCCTCCCTCCCTCTCTCTGCCTCTCCCCCTCCCCCTCTCCACGGAGAGGTATAAATCCTATGTCTCAATGGGAAGTGGGGATAGGAGAGATATTTATCGGTTCCTATCAAACTACTATGTTTGGAGTATACATGTACAAGTAGTCCTCAATTTACAACCATTCCGTTAGTGACCTGAATTACAATAGCACTGAAAAAAGTGACTTATGATCATTTTCAGTTATGACCATTGCAGTATCCCCATGACCACGTGATCAAAGTTCAGACGCTTGTCAACTGGGTCACATTTATGACGGCTGCAGTGTCCCAGGTCACGTGATCATCTTTTGCGACCTTCTGATAAGCAAAGTCAATGGAGAAGCCAGATTCCCTTAATATCCATGTTACTAACTTAATAACTGCACTGATTTACTTAACAACTGTGGCAAGAAAGGTCGTAAAATGGGGCAAAACTCACCTAACAACTGTCTTATTTAGCAGTAGAGATTTTGGGCTCAGTTGTGATCATAAGTCAAGGACTACCTGGAAAAAGTATGGGTTGTGAGGCATTCTCCTATCTTTATAAAAGTTTTCTTTCAAACTGTAATTTAATGTAAATTTTAGTCCATTCGTCCATACATTCTCCCATTTATCTTGCATTATATTATACCCATTTGTTTTGCCCATTTTACCATACACTCTTTAACATATTCATCTTCTACTATGTTTCCCCCAAAATAAGACCCGATATTAATTTTTTTTTTGCCTCCAAAAGCGGCACCGGGTCTTATTTTTGAGGATGGGTGGGTCTTTTCCACTCACCTCGCAGCAGTGGCACCGTCTCTCCCCTCCCCAGCCGGCCCACTTCTTCTGAGGTCAAAGGAGCAGCTTCATTCTGCAGCTGAGAATGGAGCTCCGGCCTGCATTTCCGGAAGGCCTCTGCAGCCGAGAACCAAGCTACAGATTGAATCCATAGCTTGGTTCTCAACTGCAGAGGCCTTCTGGAAAGGCCTAGGACTCCGAAATGTAGGCCGGAGCTCCATTGCCAACTGCAGAATGAAGCTGCTCCTTTGGCCTCAGAAGAAGTGGGCCAGCGAAGCAAGTGTTGATCCATGGGAGGCCTGGCTGCAACATTAAGCTGTATCCCCACCCTAGCTTGATTTTTAGGCATGTGCCTTGCCCTAAAACTAGGGCTTATTTTTGGGGTAGACTTGTATTAGGCCCAGCCCCAAAAATCAAGCTAGGGCTTATTTTCTGGGTAGAATTTTCTTTGGGGGAAATACGGTAGGCTCATTTTGAGTAACCTTTTATATTTTAGAAATCAAGTGATCATCTCCAGAACATAAATCAACATCCAGTTCAGATTTAGTTCCTGTGAAACCAAGTTTTTTTTTATCAAATTTAAATCTTTCAAAAATTTTATAATAATTAAACCAATCACAAGCAAATCCTTCGCTTACTAATTGTTCTTTTGTCTTTATCTTAAATTGATCTTTTTTCAAATATCAATAAGTCTTGATATGTCATCCATTTACATTCCATATTCATCTCTGTTCTATGTAATGTTTCATGAGGTGCTAGCCAAAGTGGTACTTTATCAGCTAATCTTCTCTTATACTTTCACCATACCTGTGCAATCAATTGGGTAACTTTAAAAAATTCAAGGCTGTTAGACCTCGAAGGTTTTGATTTGAGATTTGGATGGCATGTCTATCTGTGATATGATAAAGTAAAAGTTAACCCTACTTTTAGGATTCATGCTATTAGGCAATCGGTTGCACAGTTTTGTTTAATCTTAATTGTTTAAGAGAGCTTCTAGCTCTCTCCGTTCCCTTCTAGCACTGGAGATGTTATCTAATCTGTTAACAATATATCTGTAAACAGCCATCCAAGCTCAGAGAGCACCAAGCATTCACAGTTCAACTCTGAGCTACAAATAGTCTCTTTTGTTAGTTTTGTTTAATTTGGACATTTTCATATCAAGTTTTGAATAGCAAATTGTTTTGTTCTAAAAATGGGGGAATTTTCTCATTTGCTTTATGACTTTTATTTGCAGAACCAGGGTTATTTTTAAGATTGGTTTCAGCCCACATATTAAAAATTCCCATTGCTTTCACTAAGGTCTATTTTCTGAAATATTACTCGCCCGACCAATATTTTGGCAGGCGTATAATTGCAAACAGATGTTTGCAGAAACTCTTCCTTAAATGCTGTCATTAGGATTAGATTCATTAGATGCACTCCTTAATTGCTGTTTGAGCATTACAGGAGCTTCCTAGAAGATCTGATCAAAGTATCTGCAACTTTTACATAAGCATCATGTTGCTATGAAATGTTAACCCTATTGAGTGAGCTATTCATGACCTGAACTGCGCTAGACAATTAGCCATTACCACTTGGGTACCATTGTGAGTTTCTACCTGCTTATGCTCCAACTGGACATTGTCTACTCCCCATCCCATTTTTATGGGTGCAATGGCCTTGTGACCTCAAGCTATCGTTGCTGCATCTGCCAGACCAGCTTTGTCTCCATAGGTGCCCTTCAGTCATTCATCTCAAAAACTTGGCATGTGCAGGTGGGAGGAGGAAAAATACACAACTTCTCAGGAGATCATCTAAAGAATTTGTTACAGAAGAGGTAGAGTGGCTTTAGAAGGTACCAAATTCAGTTTCTTTTATGATAGCATGGTAATGGACAAGACCTTTCCCAACACCGGGAAAATCTCTGCCAGTCAAAGTAATGCTGCTCTACTAGACATATAGACTTCTTGAGATCAGCAATAATCTACTTTCTAGTTTATGAGAGATCCCTCAGGAAAAAAGGCTGAGGTTTTTTTTCATTGTTTATTGTGAAACATTAGAAATATTTTGTTAATGTTATCTTTTGTAATGACGTTTTGGGGAAAACATATCCCAGCAGTAAACATGTGACAACATTTCTTTTCCTATATTGCCTGCCAAATTCCAGAATGAATGAAGAACAGATTGCTACTGTTTGTCTATCTGTTCTAAGAGCATTGGCCTACCTTCACAATCAAGGCGTTATTCACAGGGATATAAAGAGCGACTCTATACTTCTCACTAGTGATGGGCGAGTAAGTATTTTTTTCATTTTTTCTGGCTTTTTTTTTAAACTGGAATCATCAAAAAATGGATTGGGATTTTAATCACCATCAGAAAAAATAGATAATGAACAAACTTGACATGACTGCAAGTTGCTGGGTAGAAATCATCTCAAAATATCAGTCAGAATTTACCCTGATCCCATGCATTGATCCCGTTACACGGATCCCATGCTATTCTGAAGCAGTCGATTGTGTTCACTTACAGGGTTAGCGTTGTGGCTTTTGGGAAGGGTTAGGGCTGATAAAAGACATCTGAAAAGCATCAACAGAACATCACTTGCAACAGTTTGTCTTAAGCCTTCTCTACTGATTGCTGGAGAAAAGTTAACAAGTTTTAGAAGAAAATATAAAACTGCAAAATAGACATTGAAGTTATTCACAAAGTTAACACTAGCTGTAAATTAACTTTCATGGGTATGAGTTTGTGAATTGGGTCACTAAACATCCTAGACTTAGAAAACGAATCAAGAGATCATCATTTTTTTCTCCCATTGGCTCTGTTACCATCTTCAGGCAATTATCCATGTAAACAATGCAAAAGTATAGTTATTATGGGAGGACTAGATCAACACAATCTAGAGCAAACATATTTCACTTGACCTTAATTCGAAGCATGTAAAAATAAATGTAGACAATGATATGTCTAACACATAAGCAAACAGATACATTTCACTGTTTGTGTAGAGGAGCAGTTTGGAATACTAGGCTCGACTCATAAGTAATTCAGAAAAAGTGAAATTTGCTCATAGCGCTACACAACAACACAAGATTCTGTAGGTATTTCTGATATTTTAAACACTTATTTGCTTACTGGTTAAAATGATTATTGCCTAATTAAAATAATTAAATATTGGCTTTAAGCTGCTACAAAAGTATAAACTTTACAGAATCCAAATATATTAAATAAACGCAGAATTTCTTTCATATCAATTTAAATTTGGGTAATTGGGCCCTTCTTTTTTTAGCATGGGAGGCTAGCCAATAAATGATCTACATCCATCGAAGTAGCAGTGATCCTTCTCTGATTGTTTGCTCTAGGAAAATTCCCAATATCTAATTGTTGTATCCTAATGCTCAAGATACAGCAGTGGCATTAGCCTTCAGTGCAATGCAATTCTCATGAAATGGTTCTTTTTCTGAACACAAAGCAATGATATAACTTACAGCTTTGTCAAACTTCGGATTACTTCAGTAACATGTTAACAACCTGTCCATAAAATTTACATTGCTTGCCTGCAGCTTCCATCATTTACCAAGAGATGTGGGAAAATTTGCTCAGCCTGAATTTATACATGAACTGCCCCGGTTCATACCTCCAGCCAAATCAGTCTATGCATCAAAATCCTGACATTTTCAGAATATTCAGAATGTTACATTGGGACTTCAACTAAAACAAACAAACAAATGTGCTTATCGCAGAAATGATGTTAGAAACATTGAGCATGTAAAAACTGAGAAAAATCAAGGCAAAAGATACGCAAATTAAGAGACTTGCTTTATTATTATTATTATTATTATTATTATTATTATTATTATTATTATTATGTGTGGTGGAGAGATTTGCTGACAAACATGCATGCGTGTTTTCATAATGATTTCATTATTTTTGCAACATTTGCAAAGTGTTGCAGTAATGCAGTGACATATATGCCCCACCAAATAAAATAAATAAATTAAAATAAAAATTGAGTAAAATTAAAAACGGACAGATTCATCTACAGTATCTTGACTTGCAAATTGCATATATTCAGGGAGGATATTAAAAAAAAGAAGAAGAGAATACCATTTTTGAATGCTTTTTGGCTGGTTTCCCCTGATCTTTGCTTAATAATATGCACACAATGCCTCATTACGCTCATTGTCTGCGATGCACGTATTGTCATGAACAGTTGTATAATCATCTGATTCCACTGCCCCCTCCACTTTAAAAACATCTTTTCTATATTTCAAGATGCAGAAGATGGGCAAAAGCTTCCTCTACTCGATAAAGGGAAATTGATCTGGCATTCAAAAATATCCATTGTTTTGTCTCCCTTTCATGGTATAAAAAGAACCTTTTTATGCCACGTATGGCTGGGCTATGGTTTTATAAATAGGAACAATCATTTCTAATTTTTATTTGATTGATGTTGAATTAAGAAGCAAAAAAAGGCATGAAAAGTAATGCCAAAATAAGATAAACAGTGCCACAAATAAAATGTGAGGCACCATCGTACAAACATTTAGAAAGCTTCCTTATTAATTATTTTGATAGCTCCCTGTTCTGATCTCAGACTGCATCCTGACATGATAAATGAGCTACTAATCTAATCTAATCCACTTTAGTCCCAAGACTCAAGGCTCAATCATTATTCTGCTTCAGGCACAGGGAGGGGGTCTAGATTGTTTTTGCCATGACTTGATAAAGGCAACCTTTTTGTTTGTTTTAAGTGTGGACCAAGCAAACTTTTACATAGGTGTAACATGAATTGATGCTATTTAAAGTTGTCATCTCCCCTCAAACGAAGAATACTAGAAATTTATTGAATTGAATTGTATTGAAATTGAAGAAGTCCCCCATGTATGTTTACAGTGCTACTTAGAAGCAGTTGAGTTTTATCCCCTTGATTTTATTACTATAAACTCTTGAAAGTTGGTGGAAGCTAGTAGCAGTTAATACCAATAAACAAGAAATGTTTTATTCAGTTTGCATTCTAATTTATGTTTGCATTACTCAGTTTATGTTTTGTGAATCAATTTGCAAAGCAAAAGGCGGTTATAAAACACTCGCATTTTCCTGAATTTTGTGGGACAGTTCTACTCTTAGAACTACATGCGATTTAAAACTTCTAAATTGTGCATGAAGAGGAGCAGCAGGAAACTTCCTTGTCAAAATAATTCTTTCCATAAACTAGAGGAAAAAGTTCCCTTAATGAGAGAAAATGAGAGGTATGCAAGACAATGCTTTCGTTGTGATCAGCTGAAAAACAATTTATGTTTATCATTGGGCAGAAAGTATTGAAATCCTAGAAAATGAGCTATTGATATAATTTCAAGTAGAGACTTTATTATTTATTTATTGTATTTATTTATTTATGAGACTTATATACCGCTTTAAGTGCAAGCACTCTCTAAGCGGTGTACATTAGTAAGCAATGTATATATATATATTTACATTGCCCCCAACAATCTGGGTCCTCATTTTACCTACCCCGGAAGGATGGAAGGTTGAGTCAACCTTGAGCCGGTGAGATTTGAACTGCTGACCTGCTGAACACAGTCAGCTAAAGTGGCCTGCAGTACTGCACCCTAACTGCTGCGCCACCTCGGCTCATCATCTTATGGTTAATTGGATAGGGAACCTGCAGCCTAATAACTTTTAACATCTTCACCTAATTCCATTTGGCCCTTAGTGAACTGCTCTCTGAATATCTCATTATTATTGGTCCCTGAAATATTGTTCTGGCAAGTGCTTCCTATTCTACTCGGTGGAGGTAGCATAGAGAGGGGAAGAAAGAATTTCTTTTTCAGCACTGAAAATTTCTCCAAGTGACACTTTTGTTCCATTGATTACTAGTTGTATATGCATTTAGCAGTGGTCAAGGATTCCAACAGATACAGAGTTTCTGTCCTACATTGGAAAAAGGTTCCCCATCTGATTATGTTGAACAATTCAAATTATGAATCTGCTCAATAAATGCAGTTGTTATTCACTGCCCACTTTGTTTAATTTTGTACGGTGTGATGTGTTATTTATTGTTCAGATAAAGCTGTCAGATTTCGGATTCTGTGCCCAAGTTTCAAAAGACGTTCCAAAAAGAAAATCACTTGTCGGAACTCCATACTGGATGGCACCTGAAGTGATTTCAAGATTGCCTTATGGAACTGAGGTGAGCAAAATAATAATCTTACTCCATTCAGCAACATAGATTATCTTTGGAAAACAATGATCTTTTTAAAAAATATTTATTTATTTAAAGCAATTCAGCTTGAACATATTTCTTCCAGTCTGAATCCAGACTGAGTTAAATTACTGAGATGGATTTGATTACACAATGACCTTTGGTGGACTCAAGATGGAGGTAATGCGTCCCTCCTGGCCCCTCTTTGACCTGTTGGTGACTTACAGTATCTTCAACCATGATATCTTTCTGGATTGATTCAGGGAGTTATGAATAGGAGGCATGGTGTTAACAGAACTTCTCTTCCTCCCTCCAGGCTTGGGTCCAGACAGTTTTGGTTGGGTGGGATGGGTCTAGAACTGGAACTGGACCATTTGGACTTAATCTAGAATGCAGTGACAGGGATAGTTATTTCATACATAACATTATTACTTAGTATTCCACAAGAAAAACAATGAAAACCTGATTCTTTCCTTGGGCACTTGAGTCAGGATGATTGGAATTCCTGTCCAGAGGAGTACAACAAATTTGTGCTCCTGATTGGCAATGATAGTTTCTTGTTTTTTGCTAGTAGTTGTTAACATTGTGTTTTGGTTTATTGTACATCATCCAGAGGCATATTGTTTGAACCAAACAGCCATATAAATGCTATTAATAAATAAAGAACAAATAAGAAAAAGTCTCTCTGAGCAGTTCCCATAACATTGATAAAAATAAGATTGCCTTTCTGTTTTACACAATATGTTTAATTTGGTTACTGCGTTAATCATTTTCTGGCTTTATACAATACATTAATCCATAAAGAAACAAGTGGGCTGGGATTGCATACACACATCCATGCACACAAACCCTGAAGAAGGTTGAGGCTCACCAGATTTACTTAGCATGATCTATGAATGCATCTGCTAGGTCTTTATGTGACCAAGGTCTGCATGTTGCATAAACACAGTCACTGTCTGAATAACATCACACAAAAGAAAAAAAGGGCAGCACGAGAGAAGCAGTGAATCAAGCAAACAGCCCTCAGAATTGCATAGTAGTTCTTAAAATGAACAGCTACAATAATAACTCTTGGGAGAAAGAAAAGTTGAATATCCTGGTTTGCTAAGATAGGAAGTACCTGTCGCAACCTGATGTAATGGTTGTTTTCAGGTGATCGTTGAAGAAGTGCAGGATCTGGTAGAGAACATTATAAGAAGTAGTGAGCCATTTTCCATCTCTTTCTGTGCTTCATTTTTGGTAACATTTTGATAGAAAATGTTTTCAGGTGAGAACAAGGCAATGTTAGCTACTGAAGTTAAATGTATGGCCAGCCTGAAATCAGATGTGTGTGTCACCAGCATCTTAAGACAGAATCCTGCAATGCCAACCACAAATGACCTTTTTTTAAAAAAAAAAATAGTGGGGTAAAATGACGAGGATTAAACATCTGTATAAGGTTATGGTTAATGCAGCTTATTTGCACTGTAATTGGTTCTGTGTTGCAGGTGGACATCTGGTCTCTTGGCATCATGGTGATAGAAATGATAGATGGGGAACCGCCTTACTTCAATGAGCCCCCCCTCCAGGCCATGCGTAGAATCCGAGACAATGTACCGCCAAGAGTGAAGGACCTACACAAGGTGGGAATGCTCACCTTTCCTTTGAATCCTGTGTTTATCCTTCTTCTGCAGCATCTTAGCTGAAATAGGTGGGGCCCCAGAACAGCACCTAACCCCAAACTCACTGTTTATGTTCCCAGAAGTACCTCAACATGTAGACAACCAAGAAGACTGTTTCAAGCAGACAGGATGAGATGGTGCAAGTTTTCTTTCTGCCCATGCACAAGATTATGTGAGCCCGTTTAGCTGTCTAAGTGTAGGCTTAAACTCATTTTAACTCTGCATTAATCTATATTTCAGTGGGATATTTATATAACATGTTCTAAGCAGAAACACTTTATATACCTGCCTTTCTCCTTCCATTTAGCCATCACTCTTCCTCAATACGTTCTAAAAAGGTGAACTATATGCAACATTCAGTTCTGTTAACCATGCAAAAGAGAAGATAAATATTTAGGGTTTTGCACTGATAACACTGTAGTTATACCTTATATTCTCAGTTGTCCTATTGTTAATTGATAAAGAAAACAAATAATTTTTATACATAGAACTCTTATCCCTGATAAGAATATGTACATGAATAGGAGCCTCCCTCCCCCCATAGCTTCCTTTCAATTAATAGCAAATCCCCAAGAGGGTACAGTTAAATAATAAAACCATGCAAAAATTCAGAGTGAAAGTGAAACATTTCAGAAATATCAATCACATGTGTTACATAAAGTGGCAATAGCAGCAGCAACTATATCATTCATAATGCAGCATAGGTTCAACTCAAAGCTTGGGGAAACAGATAGGTCTCCTACTGGGGCCAGCTAAATTTCTCCCCATGTAAATCATTGCCATGGTATGATTGAGAGCAAGTGAATGTGTGTTAAATGAAAGAACTTTGAAATCTGTTTTTGGTCTGCAAGCCCCAATCTTCTGATGTGTGGTTTAGGCATTAGTGGCCTCACAGTGTCGTTTGGTCTTTCCTAGGTTTCATCAGTTCTCCGTGGATTTTTAGACTTGATGCTGGTGAGGGAACCTTCACAGAGAGGATCAGCACAAGAACTCCTGAGACACCCATTTCTGAAACTGGCTGGGCCTCCATCTTGCATAGTGCCTCTCATGAGGCAGTATCGGCACCACTAAATTCAGCTGCTTTTGTTTATCCGTTTATTTGTTTTCCAGGAAACAAGTGAAGCGATGAGGTTAGGTGCTGCCAAAATCAGCAGCAAGCAGCAGTGATCCAGTGAGAAATAATGCCACTGCTGACATGGCTCAGCATACCGTGAAGGAGTCACAGTGGAGATGTAACTTGGCTAATACCTGACCTGTCGGCAGTTAGTAATCCTGGCTGAAATGCACCATGGTTGAATATCTTTGGCCTGAGTCAGAGCAAGAGGTTTTGATTTTAAACCATCCCGTTTGGGGTGAGGCAGGGGGAACTTTGGAAGGCCAAACTTTTATTGCAGATCAAAGTAGAACAACACTTCTGCTTCAAAAGAGACTTTTTTTCTGAATTAAAAAAAAACCCGAAAAACAACCCAAGAAGCACTTTTTATCTCGGTTATAGCAATGTGATGTATTTTGAAATGAATTTGTAATTTTCTGTACATTGCTTTTGATAATTTATGTACTTTGGTGTCATAGTTGCTAGTGGAGGTGAATGGTATTATTTAGCAAGTATTAGAACGAGAGCTTTCCTACTTTTTTATCTCTTTTGAAGAGAAGCAAACATACATGCACAAGCACACATGTGCAGCTTAGAATGTTGATTAGATTTGTGTCTCAGGCAAAAATGGCTACGTTTTGCAAATGTTCAAATTGCTGGCCAATGCTGTATTTATTCCTCCATTCATCGACACAAATTTCAAGCTTTCAATGTTGTTTTGAAGTGATAAGCACTTGGAAAAATCTATTCATGCTTATGGAAAAGGTGGTGTCACAATTCTGTATTAACTGGATGAAAGTATCACCTCTTTTGTGGTGGCAAGCATATGATCAGTTAAGAAGAGCGGAGGAGAAATCTGCTAATCAAGAAGAAATTTGGCTGGCCACCAATAACTATGACATTTCTGGCTGTGTACAACATGCTTAACCAGGTCAGTGAAAGATCTAGCAGTCATTTTCACACTTGTTAAGCTTGCTGACATTGCTCTTTGTTAATTTCTTTGTGAATTAGTTAGTTATATGACACCAACCCACTTGGTTAGATTATGGATCCATATACCGTGTAGGGGTTAGTTCATGAACCAGATTACATGTATTGTGTTAGTACAGCCTATGCTGAGTGATTTGTCCCACAGAGGCCTATCTGAGCTGGCTGAAAACTTATGGGACTTGTATTCCAGCAATGGATCCAGCCAGAGCTAATATTGGATGGTGCCAGATCGAAAATGAGACCAGTTTACAAAACAGACCAATGTCTGTATGCTGCTGGATTCGGTTGCTCACTTCATATGACTTTAGCTGAGTGGTTATGTTCCCATCTGAATTCCAGTAGCCCTTCCTTGTCTTGTGTTTATGAGTTGCCACCATGATTCACCATGTGTCTGGGTGCCCACCCTGAAGTTGGAGCAGAGCACTAAGCATCACCCTTGCTGTCCGCAAACAGTGACTTCATTACCAGTGCTTCATTGTGCCATCACACCACCCCAAGTGAAGTGCCTGGAACTACTAGTCTTTCTTTCCCTCTCCCTAAATTATCTTCTATCCTTTGTCCTTGTGGACTAACATCATGTTCTGTGACTTAAGGTCATTAAAGCAAATGCAGCTGCCATGGCATACTATATTGAGAGCTAGTATCTTCATTGCATCCTGGATAGGGCTGGAATCTCTTAAAGTGGGACATTCCAAAGAGCTGCTGTCACCTGTCATTATAGCTAGTCTTAAGCTAGGCAGACTAAGGGCCTGACCGGCCTGGCCCACATTCACATATCCTTGGAGGCTTTGCACACTTCCCAGTTTAGGCTACCCAATGAAAAAGCTGTTTAGCACACAGCAGACTTTCATCATCAAGTTGCATCACTCACACTGCCTAACACTGAACTGCCCACAAGTTGTAACTACATAAGCTGGAGTTTAGCAGCAGCCATAGTTCAGCAGACAGTTGGGGTTGCACACACAATGCTGCCAGCTTTGAGTCTTCTTTTCTAGCTTCATATGTGACAGACACCCACTCAGGGCACCTGCAGGCAAGAGAATTTTTGCTTAGTCCTAGCAACATGGATATTGCCTCATTTGACTCCGTGCCAATTCCAATGCCTCCCGTTTGTCTTCATTATTTTTATTCAGGCTTTAGAAGTCAACCACTAAGTGGGTGTTTTCTGAGTTTAAATCAAAGTGTTGTAAAATTTGGTTAATGTGTTTTGCCATACAGGAGAAAAAGCTGTCTAAACCCCTTTGAAATGTTAATTCAGCAATGGCAACTACAATTAATCTTATGTTGCTTGTTTGGTAGGTTTGCATGTTTACCATAGACCTAGAGAGATTTGCCCTTTTTAAGTGCTCCATAATTATTTCAGTCAGTTGGGCGGGGGGGAATATTTATTTATTCATTATGTATAACTTGAAAGCCATGTCTTTTCTAACTTCGATTTTGCTTTTTGTTTTGGGTTATTTTCACCTGATTTCACTTGAAGAAAATTGTCTGATCCGAACTCTAATGTCTCTGGACACAGTATTTTGCATTGGGGGGGGGCTTTCATTTTATCAGTAAGTTGGTTGATACCTATTGTAATAATAGAGAAGCCAACCCAAAAGTTAGAAAGCTGCTGATTTGTGATGAGTTGTTAATGAAGAAGATATATTGTTTTCCATTCTGTATATAGCTTCTTTAAAAATTCAAATTGGAACCCCACATTACATTATATACATTGATGCACCACCTTTCCTTGAACGTGCATTCGGCCCCAAGCTCTTTCATTAGAGATGCATAGAATTAAGGCATTAGTACATCTAGGATGGGGGGTACACAACATTTTGTTTGCCAGTGTCATCTTTTGATGAGAGGAGGCAGAGAAATGAGGTGGTTGTAATGCAAAAGTGAACGGTATTGCATGATACAATAGACAGGATTGGGGTTCCCTTCTGCGAGTAGGGTGGGGTCTGTTTTAAGAGAGAAGCCATTTTAAGATTTACACAAGTATCATTTCCATTAAAAATGGTGTGAATATGTGATGGCGCAGTGTTAGAATGCAGTATTGCAGGCTAATTCTGCCAGCTGGCAGCCGTTCGATCCTGACCGACTCAAGGGTGACTCAGCCTTCCATCCTTCCGAGGTCAGTAAAATGAGGATCCAGATTGTTGGGGGGCAATAGGCCGACTCTGTAAACCTCTGTAAAGCATTATGATGATGTGGTATATAAGTCTAAGTGCTATTGCCAATCCATATTTATTTATACATACATACAATGTACAGGTTACCCGACTTCCAACTAATTTTGGTTGTTATACTAGGATTTCATAAACAATAGGTGCTACATAAAGTCCTGGAATTTTATGTTGCCCATCTTTATTTTGGGTAATTCTCAAAACTCCATTCGGGTGAATATAATTTATATTCAGGATTGATAACCCCATATAGATGATTGCTGGGATTGGCTAGAAGCAATAGTGAAGGGGTGGAGGTTACAGGTGTATGCATCACTCCACCTACTGTTCAACTTTCCTCAGATTAATGTCCCAAATATGGCAGGTGATGATGTCTCATTGCCAGTGTTGAAATAAGATTTAAATATATATATGCTTTGCTGTAAATTCATAATAAATTGCATCTTACTAATCATTCAGATTGTTTACATGGACAGCTTTGCACACTGTGATAAGTCAAAATTTCTGACCATAGTCTGTTTAACAAGCCATATTCATTTTCACATCTAGTATTAGGACACCACCTTTTTCAGGCTATAGACTACATTTACTTTGAATGGTTCAGTAGGGATGGCACAGCCCAAAATCAACACGCGCTTAAGTCAGATGCTAAGTGATTTAATGTAATGTTAAATACAGTTAATTGTTTCTCAGTTATTTGGTATAATTTTCTGTTCATATATGGCTGGAAATCTAGAAGGGCTCTGGACTTCTGGTGCCCAGGTTGAGCACGACATAGGGTATTTGAGCCATGGATTATGCATCCACATGCTAAACTTATGGATACCATACCTGGGATGCAAATGTTATAATGTCCACAAGATGGCAGCAAAGGCCTAAAGAAAACAAGACTTGGCTGATATCTATTGGTCATTCAAAGCTTTACAGGCCAAAATCAGTGATGGACAAACTACAGTGGCAGATTCACTCATAATACTAAACCAACTAAGCGTTAAGGCTCTATGTCTTAAGTCAGGAGGATCAAGGTGAGCCATACTATTGTCTGGTAACTGCTTTCCAAGATTTCAAATAGGGGTTTTCCTAGGGCAGGTAGAGCTGGGCCTTTTAATGCTGCTCTGAGCTACTTCAAGGAAGAAAATATACTCCAGATACCTGATACCAGAAAGAACAAATAAACTTTATCATGGCAGGAGAAAAACCTATGAAATAGCTTTGACAGTTACAACTATAAATTCTACCAGGATAACCCATGTATAGAAATCCATACTCTTAAGCCATCATGGACACACATTTTTTTTTTTTTTTGCAGAGTGAAAAATCTGTAAGGAAGACTCTCTTGACTTTTTCTCTTTGCAAAGCTTGAAAGCCTCTCTTTGATGAAAGTCCATGGAAAGGACTCCTTTGACTGTTTGATGAAGCAGTGTCCCATCCAGGATAGTCTGTGTGCGAGCATGTATGTGTTGTGTGTAATGATGATGACACTGTTGTATTGTTTTATAAAAAAATTGTTTCCATGAAACCCTGTTTTAAATCCTTTGGGTATTTTGTCCTTGGTTTTTGGAGAGAAAAATTAGTATAAGCATTTGATTTGACCTGTATACTGCTGCAATAATGTGACATTTATTTATTTATCTACTTTCTGATTTATACGGCCACCCATCTCGCCAGGAGTGACTCTGGACAGCATACCACGATATCCAACCCCTCAGAAGAGAAAGCAGCCATCAGATCTCAATTTCTGGCTACACTTGAGTCCCACTTCTTTAATACAGTCCAACAAACTGGGCTCTGTTCCTAGCTTCCCTAAATTGTAACGCTGAAATGAATGATATAATAAGAACCGTGAGCTCCATTCATCTAACCAGTCCTTATGTTCAGCATGCTACAGTTTCACCTTTTCTAGCAAACTGATAATTCTTGGGCTCTTGGGGGAAGTAGTGAAAAGTTGGGTAGCATCCTCCTTCCTAAAGTCTGACCAATCCTAGGGTAACCAGAACTTCAGAGGTTGAAGCAATTAGCTTTCCATTAAGGAATAAATGCAGTCAGCCTTAAGCATTCCACTGGACTTCTGTATTTATGCACCATAAACATTCTCCTGGATGCTTGCATTGCACTAAGTCAGATTTGTTTTAATTGTCTGTGGAATAAAGCAAAATTGACTAATTCCCCATATATTGTTAAATCCAAGCCAAACAAACCAGTTTATGGCTTAGTGGCAGTGCACAAATCAGCACCCTGGCCCAAGGTTAAACCATCCTGAGCCACCAATAAACATCTGCACGTTAGTCAGGGGAGGTTGAATTCAATGGATGGGTGGAAAGCCACGGATAAAACTGAACCTCTTTCTCTGAAGAATCATCCCACAAAACAGTGATTGTGATCAGGTTTGTGACCTTCCAAAACTCTATCCTTTACTTAGCTCAGTGTTTCTCAACCTTGACAATTTTAAGGCATGTGGACTTCAACTCCCAGAATTCCACAGCCAGCATTGCTGGCTGTGGAATTCTGGGAGTTGAAGTCCACATGCCTTAAAATTGTCAAGGTTGAGAAACACTGACTTAGCTGGAGGCATCTTTCATACACAAACCTTTTTCCTTAATCCTCTAGCATTTTATTGCCTCTCATTCTTTCTTCCTTGCCTAAGAGTGTCCATAAAATACTTAAGTCTAAATGCTCCATATTAAAAATACTCCACATTAAGCAACATAGTTTAGGATTTATTGGTTTTTGCTGTTTGCTTCCATATCTATATTTACACATCCGTTATTTATAACACCTGAAGGTTTCTGCATAGTAAGATGAACATTTCTTGTTGGTGTTCTTATATAATCATTACATTGCAGTAGGCATTTTTCAGTCACAGTACATGCAAAGTGTACAGCCCATAAGCATTTCTCACACCAGAGCTTAACACTCTTGTGATTTGAGCAGCAACGTTCATAAAACTGTTTGGGTGCCAAAGCATTTCAATAAGCAATAAAAATGTAAAATAAAATTCTTCAAGCTCTAAAATCATAGAATCTTATTCTTTGCTTTGTTTTGAAATATATCTTTAAATTGAGATGAGATGAAGTGAAAACGAGATGACGATCCTATGAGCAAGTCCTGAGGGAGCTGTTTAATTTACCCAAGCGGCATTATTCCTCTGGGAATATGTGAGATTGAGTAGAGAGTCCTACCATTCCTAGAACTTTGGAAACACAGGATTGATTAACAGCAACTCCACAAACAGGAGTGCTGGCGGAGGAATAGATGAAATCTGATGGAAGGCCCCAGGTGTGGAAAAGGCGGAATTTTTGTCAGTTCCCCTTTTCCCCCGAACTTCTGCTCCCATCCTATTGTGCAAAGTTCCCAAAATATTCCATGCAGATTTTCAAGGGACGCTAAAGGTAGCAGAAGGAAAGAGAAATACCAGAATTCTCCTGTGTGCTGTGAAGACCCATAACCGGAACTCTGTTCCCGGACCCCTTGATCCAAGCTATGGGCTTACATTATGGATGGAGAATGTCACTGTATGCCAGTTTCATCAGCTGCAGCTAGCAAGGCAAAGGTAGAAATGGTGAGAACTGCAGTCAGGCAAATGTGGAAATGGAAGGTTCCACAAGCTCTTCTGTCACTGTCGTCATTCCCCTCACCACTGAGGTAAATACATTTTCAGAGCGAAACATACATTTCCATTCTCATCTCTGCCACCTCATGAATGGAAACGATGCTTGGCCAATGTAGGGAACATTGCCTGTTGGGTCAGTTCTCCAGAGAAGACAAAAAAGTTATTTCCCTGTTTTAAGCATTGAGAAATGGCTGTTCTTCCATCCCCTCCCCTCCCTTCCCACCCCAACCTCCCATTGTATCCCTCCTCCATCCCCCCTCCCCCCATCCGTCTGTCATTGTACATAAGAGGCCCTGACCTATAGGAAAAAAAGTGCTTTTGCTTCAGCTGATCTTTTCCTTTGCCAGCTATCCCATATGTTTATATTCGGATCTGTCTCGTGGAATTTGGACTTGGTTGGCTGTCATTTTGAGATGGATGTGATAAACACCAAGGGTTACCACAATCACCAAGCCCAAGATCAAGCCCAATATGAGAGGAAGCGTTTCTTCTAATTGTTCTCTTTGATCCACTGGACATTTATGTTCTGCAGCACAGAGAAAAGAGAAGAATGGGGAGAGAGAAGGGTTATTCTGCATGCAAGTATTTTTCCTGCAAAAAAAAAAAAAATCATTTTCCTTCATGACAATATACGGATGCCTCACCAACATACAATACATACCCTCTCAACTATTCGGAGGTAAATTAAGCTGAATAGTAGAAAATGGGTTGGCTTCGGGTCCCTCACTATGTAGGAGTTCAATCTAGATATCAGTCCTAAGCTGAAGTTTAGTCCACTGTATTAAAGTTGAGCTGCATGAAACCAAGGAGTAGCATAATTTTAATGGAACACAAGCCCCTTATGCCCTTGAAAATCCTGAGATGCACACTGATTGGGTGTGATACAATGTGCAGGTGAAGAAGAAGTGGAAGAAAATGTCAGCAGTCACACCCACAGCTTCCCAGGGAGGAGGCATCCCTGAGTGGGACTCAAGACAATAAAGTCCTGAACTGGATGGGAGAGGGAGAAAAACATTTTGAGTAGCCACACTTTAGAATCTGTCAGAGCAGTGGTTCTCAACCTTTTTAATGCCGCGACCCCCAACCGGTCGTAAGTCGAGGACTACTCAACCGGTCGTAAGTCGAGGACTTCTCAAATGATGCACCACCGTTTGCAGAATGGGACTTTTGGCGGGCTCAGCAGGGCAGAGACAGCCTGGACAATTCCTATTGGCTTTTGAAAGCCAATAGAATTAGACTCTATTCAAGAGAGTCTATTCTATTGGCTTTCAAAAGCCAATAGAATAAAAGGGAGTAGCACAGCTAAGGAAAAGGGGGAAAAAATGGCAGATTGCGTTGTTTGGCGACCCCCGTGAAATGGTCGTTCTACCCCAAATGGGGTCCCAACCTACAGATTGAGAACCACTGTGTCAGAGTGTAACTATTAGGTTAGAAGGTTGTAGCTTTAGACAGATAGATTCTGTCTATTAGGTCTAAGCAAATAAAGAACTGCATTTGGTTGAATCTCACTGTGTCGTCTTAGGACTGACAGGAACCCAAAGCAAGCAACCCAAATCAGTGTTCTTCAACCAAATCATTAAGTCAATGCAAGTCTTGCCCTACCCCCTTTCCTACTGTTCGAGACGATGGGTCACTGCTTATTACCACATGTGCCAATGACCACCAGTACAAGGACAGCTGCTGATGGTGGTGTTAGCACAGCCTTAGCAATAAAGCAGTTCTGATGGATATGGAAGAATATTAATGCCTGTAACAATAACTCTCTCTGGTACTTTGTTGTTAGTAACTTTTGTGCTTTGATTTTTTAAAAAAAATTTTAATCATACGCCATCCAGAGTCACAGA